GGATGTACATGTAGGGCTGGATGGGGTGTTCCAGGAGGGCCAGCACCAGTGGTGGGAGGGATGGTGGGCCCTCGGCAGGACTGCTCCACTTCTGGTGTCCGCCTCTCCTCCGGTCTCCCCTGTGGCTCCAAGAAGCTGTAGCACACACAGGGGCCATGCTCTGGTGAAACTCTCTCAGCAGACAACTAAACAAGGTAGAGAGCAACTGAGAGGCCTCACAGCCATGGGTGAGCAAAGCATGTGAAGGCTTCTGCTGGTAGAATGGCAGGATGAGTTTGTTCCAATGGCCATAATGGCGGCTGATGCAGCCGCTGAGCAGGGATTACAGCTTGATTGGACATCAAAGATTCCAAGATCAACTGCAGGATCTCAGGCCACTACCCTGGTGCTTGGGTCGGGGTGTTGAGGCAGAGGACAGATGAGAGGAGAAAGCCTGCGGTGGGTGAGGCAGCAGAGAGGGTGCTGGGGAGGGTCTGGGAAGGGCAGATTGTGGGGAGTGGCCCCTCCAGTGTTTGGCCAAGAGAGCCTCTCTCGAGGTCATGCCTGTGCTGATTATGGGGGTGTGGGTCACAGGTTCCCTGCCTTGTTCTCTTCCCAATCTGACCACACAACAGCATCTAGAACCAGGCAGGAAGAGGTTTTGACGGCAATTATCAGAGCCTGGACTCCTGCCCTGTGCCTGCTGGGATGGGCTCTGTCTCCCACCCCTAGAGAAGGGCCTGGAAGCCCTGGGCCTTGGGAATTCAAGGAGGGAGCTGGGGTTCTGAGAGGGAGTCAGTCTGGAGGTGGAAAACTGGGGCCTAGGGGACAATAAGCCCCCACTTATCGTCCCCACCCCTCTCTCTCCCACAGCCTTCTCTTCCCAGGAGAACAGCTCTTGGCCCCTCATGCTCACCCTGCTCCAGGGAGCCCTCATGGGGGCCGGATTTCTACTCAGTTATGGCCTCACCTGGCTCTATTACACCTGGTGAGTATGTCTGCCCTCTGACCCACAAGCACATGGCATCCAATGCCCCTCAACCACTGCCCAACCCCCTCCTCACTCTTCTCCCCAGAAATGGTCTCTGGGGTCTCCCAGCACCCCACACACCCTCTGGCCTTAAGGCCCAGGCTGTTCCAGCTGTGACCAACACTGGGCCTGCTTCTCTCACAGGAAGCTTCTAGGGAGGAAGCAGTCACCAGCTCCAGAAGCTGCCCAGTGCTCTGTGTGAAGGCTCTCCTGTCCTTGACCCCAGCCCAGACCTGCCTCCTGCCCCTTCCCATCAAAGGCCCCACTTCTGCCCTCAGGGACACAGCAAGTCAAGCCTGACCCACCAGCTAGAGGACCGACCTCCAGGCCTAGAAGACAGTCCTCAGGTCTCCCCTGGGTATCCTCTTCTCCCTCTGAACAGCCCTGGGTCCTTCCCCTGATTGGCCTATGGCATGATCTCATAGATGGAGGGAGGAGGTCTGTATTCCAGGACCTGCTCCCCAGGACATGCCTCCTTGTCTGATGAGTTTCCTCATCTGAAATAAGAAGGTTAGACTCGATACTCTCTGTTCCTGCCATCAGGGTGCTAGCACCCAAGGAATGAGGGTCACCAGGTTTCTGAGCCATGCCTCCCCCACGCCAGATGCCTTAAGTGAATATGTGTCTGCTACTAGGGTCCAGGGAGGGGGAGGTCTTGCTCCTGCCAAGGCCCTACCCGCTCTTCTCCTTTACCATCAGATGGTGACAGGCCTCTCCTGTTCTGCAGGTCTTTGTAAAGTGAATAAATATAAAGTTATATGTAACTGTACATCTTTATGTATATATACACAGATGCTAATTTTATTCTCCATTAATTATCGTGTCATGGTGAGCCGGATCAAGTCATTCTTTATATTGATATTCTCAATGCCTAGGACACAGCCAAGGACAAG